TCGTGGCAAGATCGCAAAATCAGAATGGAAGGACGACCTATACGACAAGCTCACAAAGCCTCTACAAGACGAAATGCGCATTGAGGTACAAAAGATTAAAGACTTTAATGAATTTGCCGACCTTACCTCTGGAACTGATGCAAGGCTCAAACGAGACAGAGCAAGAGCTCAGGAAGCCAGGACTCGTACAAAGTTCAAACGTTCTATTGTCCCTTCCTTGCTTCCGACTATACCACAAGTCAGGACGAACACAGCACCTCTCTTACCCCGCTATTCTACCCCAACGCCTACAAAGCAAAGCGTAGAACGACGAGAGACTACTACACCAGCCCCTGGCAGCATATTACAATGGACTTTTGTAGCTTTCCAGAGGACAAATCAGGGTACGACAACGTATTTGTAGTAGTCGACCGACTCTCAAAACAGGCTATATCCGTTCCCTGCTATAAGACAGTTACAGCAGAAGATATGGCCAGGCTCTACATCTGTCACGTGTATCGCTACTATGGTGCTGCTGAGTCAATTGTTTCAGACCGTGGACCTCAGTTTATCTCAGCCTTCTGGAAAGAGCTTAACCGTGTACTTGGAACTCAGCTTAAGCTTTCTACCGCCCACCACCCACAGACAGACGGACAGACCGAAATCATGAACCAGTACCTGGAACAAAGGTTACGCCCATTTGTTAGCTACTACCAAGACAATTGGGCAGAGCTACTGCCTATGATGGACTATGCCCAGCTCACGCTACCACATGACTCGCTTAGCCAAATGAGCCCATTCGAAGTACTATACGGATACCCGGCTCGTACGTCTTTTGACTGGGATACACCTGTTACAGCCCCATCCGACCGAATAAGCGTAGAGAAGGCAAGAGCGCTTGCTAATCGCATGAAGGATGCACAGGAGGCTGCGAAAAGAGGGCTCTCTTTAACTCACGAGCGCATGAAAACCTCCGCTGACAAACATCGTCGCCTGGTGGATTTTAGTGTAGGAGACTTTGTCTGGCTTGCAAAAAAACACTTGCGCACAGAGAGGCCTAGCCGCAAGCTCGACTTTCCAGAGGCTGGCCCATACAAAATTATCCAGCAAGTAGGCAACGCTTTCAAGCTCCAACTACCTGATTCAATGAAAATCCATCCAGTCTTCTCCCCTGATAGATTGCGTAAGGCTTCCCAGAATCCTTTACCAGGCCAAAGTAATCCAGAGCCACCGCCTGTCAACATTACAGGCGACGATGAGTGGGAAATTCAAGAGATCCTTGCAAGTAAAGGACGGCAATACCTCTACTACCGTGTTAAATGGCTAAACCAAGACGAAGACCTACAGTGGTACCCGGCATCTGACTGTAAATACGCCCCTCACAAAGTAAGAGACTTCCACCTAACTAACCCAACTCGACCTGGCCCGCCAGCTCGCTTATATGACTGGTTAAGTGCTTGGGAAGGTGGAAGGGACGATTATGATGATTTAGATGGTAACTTAATTATGGATACTCGGTCGAGGACGACCTTCTTTAAGAGGGGGGGTACTGTTACGGAGTTGGAGGAACTAGGGGTTGATCACGTGTAGCGCAGCATGTAGTATGTGTCACGTGCGCGCTGCTGGCATCCTGTATTTAAGCTCTCGTTCCTCTGGAACTCTCTTCCTTCCTCACTTTGTTGTTCGCTCAATACAGCAGTTTCCGTTTGACTCCGTATTCATCACAGCAAGCAGTGGTTCACTCCACACGGTTACAGTCACGAGGGCTGGATGTCACATGCTCGCTTAGCGAGGCGCTAGCGCGCACGACCTGTATTTAGTTCCCAGCTCTCTCGAGCTCTCCTTCTTTCCTCGTCTTTTGTCCTAAGAATAGAGTGTTAATTGTTCTGAGTTCTACCTGAAGCACGTCTGTCACATTATGAGAATTAAGAATAAAGTAAAATAGTATAAGTATTTTAAGAGGTTCCTATAAAGGGGGTTCGCTTATATTATTTAAGGTTATTAGGATCTATTATAATTATAGTATAAGTATAATTAGGATTAGAGTATTAATTTAGCGACTTTAGTAGTAGTAAAGGTAGTAGTAAAGGTAGTAACTCGTTTATAGTATTAAGGTATAAAAAGGAGTTTTTATCTAGGAAGAACTTAGCTAGAAATACTAGTTTATTATTATTAAACCTAGAATTATTATTATTAGAAGTAGGCGAACACTCTATATAGTTTAGTAAACATAATTTTTTTAGTAGTAAAGATAAGATATATAGTTTATATAATTCTCTAGAGTAGAACTTATTACTTAGTAGTACTTGTATTATTTAAGACCTAGGATTATCTAGATTAGAATTATATTCTCGATAAGAATATAAACCTTTTAATTAATCCAATTTATTTATTATAAGTTTTATAAAGTTAATAACCTTCTAAGGATTTATAGGGTTAATACTAGCTCTATTCTATATAGCTAGTATATTTAAGGCTATAAAAGTTCGCTTATAAATACTATTTAAAACCTATAAAAAGTCGTACTTATTAAAATAATCCCTTTTACTACGAATAGCGGGTTATAATTCTTATTAATAATAGTACTTTTTAAGCCGGAATATAATAGCGTCTAGAGGTTAATAAACGTATAGTAAATATATAATTAAATAGAATAATATAATAAATAAATCCTAATATTTAGATAGAAACTTATATATTATATATAAATCGTAACCGTTAAATATTAAGAGCCTTTATTATTCTTACTACCGAGATCTTATTTATTATTTAAAGTAATTAAGCTATTTAAAGGTAATTTTATTAGTTATATAACTAGAATTACTTAACTCGATTACTATACTAGGGGGTATTTTATTATTAAAGTGTTTACTAAGAAAGACTTCACTAGGTATAATTAGGAATAGATTAGTTACCCCACTTACCGCGTTTATATATTAATAATTATAATAGATTCTTAGTTTCTAGGATTATTTATACATATTTATTTAAGTAAAAGTTAGCTATAGTTATCTGATCTTTAGTTATAGAGTTTTATATACTTCTAGGGCTAATATATAAGTAATAATAATAGTAGACTTTATATGACTAACTCGAAACCTAGCCTTATTTATATTATAAGTATTATACTATTAGATATTATATTACAGGATTATTTTAAATAATCTTTTAAAATAGTCTTTAATATTAACCCGAGTTAATACTATTCGCCGCTAGACTTCTATTAGTATTATACTAAGTATTTTAAATTGTCCGAGTTCGTACTATTTTTTAATCTACCTATTAGCCTAATCGTAGCCTAGGGGACCTTACTTATTACTAATTATATATAAAATTAAGGCCGCGGCTTAATTAATTAGTTTATAACCGAGTGCGTATGCATGTGCTTGAGCGAACCAAAGTAGGTAACGGAGCCCGTCTCCGCACATCTCACAATGGTCTTTGAGCCGCCAACATGAACAGCGCACAGAATGAAGAAGATTCCCGCTCCGAGACCTCGCTGGTTCAAAGCTGCATGCGCCTGACTCCAAGAGGAATAACTCTCGAGCATGGTCAGTGTGTAACGAAGACAAATAAAAGATGTCTTGGACGTCCTCCACGGAGCCTCCACGGAGCAACCTTTGGCATCAAATGATTCGGGAAATAACGTAGGGACACACTTGTTGGTTAGAAAGGCCGTTCTGCAAAGTTTCCCAGTTCTACTGCTCCTCCCAACATAATGGTTGAGTGCATATGACTGTCAATTTAGAGATCATCCAGCCCTGATGATGATTTGCGATTCCGGGGAACCCTCTGTGCTATCGTGAACAGCCCCTTTCTTGGCCACACGGCAGTAGAAGGAGATTAAGACGTTGCGGTACTGAATGCAGCAAACAATTCGACGTAGGAGACACTGCTTGAAGCTCTGAGATCGGAAATCAGGATTCCGATGGCAAGAACCAACAGCAATACACACTTCTTCGTACTGCGAGCGAGGAGCGTCCTGAGGATGCTTGCCCAACCGTGCTCATCTATATATCATCAAGGGAAAATCTTCCCCAATCTGTTCCACGGCATGCTCAGCAATGTCCATAGGCTGGTGATATGATAAGGGGAATAGACCGGAAACAGCCATGTCTGTGGCAATGAACGCTATAATATCCGGCTTCGAGCATACCAAACGAGAAAAGAAAGAAGGCATTTGCCGAATTTCTTTTCGTTGTCGTCCATCGAGTGGATAATAAACTAGAAAGGGATGAATGGGTCAGGAAGTTGCATTCTGTAAATATCGTAGGCCTCGGGCTGTAAATAACTTAGCACGAGTGAACGACCTGCCACTACTGTACACCTGCACTCGTCCAGTCATCTCAACTTCTGAAGTTGCTCGGAAACGTCTCTTGGCGTCCCATCCAGAAAACGAAGGATGATCTAGCCCCCCGTTGAATGGGCGAGAGGTCAACAGCCGGGTATGAGATGCACGTGTTCAAGGCGGCTGCGGATGAAAGTCTGCAGGGGACGAGCGGAGGTATTAATAAACGTCCTTCATTATTCGGTCGAGTGGACGGGGGATTGCGATTGTTGGGAAGAATCTTACATGTTCCATACAGAGGATCTACCAGCCGCCATGTGGCCTGTTTACCAGTCCAAATTTCGTTGCACCTCGCGATTTGTGAGATCTCGATCTGACTATCCAGGTTGGGTGAGAGGGCAGCAGCAGCATCATCTAGGCAATGTTTGCCCCTGGCCAACTGTCCTGGCTCTTTAGGCTCGTCAGGATCGTCAGGGTCTTTAGGTCGCAGGCTTCTCGGCCTGAGGCCCTTTTTCGCTTTAGTCGGCTCTGCGACATCCGATGAAGGCTTAGATCGGATGTTAATAGGCACGACGTGCCTACAAAGTTCGAGCCAGGCCGCAGGCATCGAGTCGAATCCTGCGCAGTAAAAAGACATCGCGATGGGATGGAAATCGGATGCGGCCATCACTGCGCGTGAGAGACAATAGCGGTTCACCCACACAACATGACGCGATCCAGCTGCAATGCGATGCGCTGCCATGCCATGCCATGAAGCTGGCGGGAGGTCGAGGTCGGGGTGCTGCGAGTCTTCGTCTTCTGGAGACACATTTGGAAGGTGCGACATGATTAGGCACTACTACTGATCCTCCGTGTTTATCCAGAGGGAAGCGGAGGGAGCATATATTTGAAAGCGGCGGGTACTCGCTCTCTGAATCTATGTTTCGTTACATTATCCGGGCTTCCTGTGGACAAGACAAGTAGGAGAGATTCTTAATAGTAAACGTCATTTAGAGCATTTGAATAGGTTAAAACATTCTAGGACTGCCACCTTAATTATTTACTTGGGGGATTTCGGTTAATTGTCTTCATTTGTAGATGACCAAAACAAGTAAAAAGTTAACTTTACTTACATAAACAGAAAAGATCCTCTGTCACTTTTCTCGTCCACTAAGAGCCAAGCCAGTAAATGATCAGTCTATAATCATCCAATTTCTCTCTACTGTATAATAATCACTTAGATAAATAAGAGTTGTGGTCTAAGCTGTGTATGCGACACTCCTGCTGCTTTAAATCAGAGGAATGCACAAGAAGAGTGGCTGTGGCGGAGAATGCTTTTCTATTAGCGTAACTAGGCATCCAAATTCAAGATGTTTACCTTCTAGAATCAAGGCGTTTGACAAATTTACTAGAATGAAATCGATTGGTTTAGATTACCTGCATACTTTACATCAAATAGAAATCTCTGCCACTTTTCTTGCGCCTTTTGGAATCTGGACAGTATCTCTGCCTGAGCAGTCAGGTGTCCAAATGAAAATCTGGGGTAGTCGGTTTTATGCGGTTCAAGTCGGGGCCAGGGTGAATCCTCTGCCGCTGACATCTCCCAAGTGAAGTCAACGATGCCTCATAAGTCTCATATGAGTAGGGCTTTTTCGTCTGATCAAACCATTTCCCATTTACATCTATTAAATCGTGATTCGAGATGTCTTCCGCAGCACTTGTTTTCCGCACTGCGCGAGTGTATTCCAAGATGAGCTACAAGGTAAGTAAATCGCAAAGCAGCTGAACTAGTCTTAACGTTCTTTAGCAATCCAACCTGTTAGCTCGTGGCTTTGCCTCAACTACCCGACGTCATGAAATTAACAAAGTTGTTCCGTCAGCGGCAGAAGCCCTGCAGGACATGAAGCCAAACTCTACTTTATTGTGTGGCGGCTTCGGACTTTGCGGGGTACCAGATACACTCATCGATGAAGTTCTGAAAAAGAAAGAAATCACAGGAATCACGGCCGTCTCAAATAATGCTGGCACTGAGTTGGTGCTTCCGATTCCCCTCTCTTGTGTTGGCAGGGACTAACGAACTTAGTGAGTCCGGATTGGGAAAGCTCCTCAAGACAAAACAAGTCAAGAAAATGATTGCGAGTTATATCGGAGAGAACAAGACTTTTGAGAAGATGTATCTCACAGGTGAAATTGAATTGGAGTTGACTCCTCAAGGAACCCTCGCGGAACGATGTGCGTCGGGGGGGAAAGGAATACCTGCATTTTACACGCCTGCAGCCTTTGGAACGGTCGTCCAGACTGGAGAGCTCCCTTTAAAGAATAACGCAGACGGAACTCCAAAAAGCTACTCATATCCCAAAGATGTCAAAGTACTCGACGGCAAACCATACCTATTGGAAGAAAGTATCAAGGGCGACTACGCCTTCGTCAAAGCTTGGAAAGCAGACAAGCTGGGAAATTGTCAATTTCGTCTTACTGCAAACAACTTCAACGGCGCCATGGGTCGCAATGCCAAAATGACGATTGTAGAGGCTGAAGAAATTGTGGAACCTGGTGGGATTGCACCCGAAGCAGTTCACCTCCCAGGTATTTACGTCAAGCGTGTTATTCAGTCAACAACACCCAAAGACATCGAGAAATTCATATTCGCAAAAGATCCCAATGATTCAGCGGCAAAGGCAGCCTTGGGAAGTGGAGAGACGGCCGCAAAGCGAGAACGAATTGTCAAGAGGGCCGCTAAGGAGTTCAAGAACGGCATGTATGCTAACCTTGGGATCGGTATGCCTATGTTAGCTCCTTCATTCGTGGGACCAGAGGTAGAGGTCCAGCTACAATCTGAAAATGGAATTCTTGGTCTAGGTCCGCATCCAATCAAGGGGAAAGAAGACGCTGATCTCATCAATGCTGGTAAGGAGACCGTCACTTTGAACCCAGGCGCGGCCGTCTTTGGGAGCGAGGAGAGCTTTGGTATGATCAGAAGTGGACGTATCGACCTCACCATTCTTGGTGCCATGCAGGTTAGTGCGAATGGCGATTTAGCAAATTGGATGTTACCCGGTAAGATCAAGGGGTTTGGAGGTGCTATGGATCTTGTTAGCAACCCTAGCAAAACCAAGGTTGTTGTAACTATGGAACATACCGATAAAAAAGGCAATGCAAAGATCATGAAGCAGTGCGCTTTCCCACTAACGGGAAAGGCTTGTGTGTCCATGATCATCACTGAACTAGTAAGTTCCATCACTAGCCGCGGGTTGAGCCTAACGCTAATGTTGATTCAGGGTGTATTCGAAGTGGACTTTGCTACCGGGCTGACACTTGCCGAAATCGCCGACGGCGTGACAGTGGATGAGATCAAGAGTAAGACAGAAGCACCCTTTAGGGTGGCTGACAATCTCAAACCTATGCTGTAAATACAGTAGGTATTTATCTCTGTGTCGCGTGATATTACATAATCCACCTAAAGTTCAGGAACCGTTCGTCTGATGCGTTTACCCCAGTGGGTGGACTGAACTGGAACTCAAGGAGCATTACTTTATTTGTATTCTAATAAGCCAGCAGCATGTGTCCTTCTGGACTGGGCATAGGTAGCTTAGTAGAGCGAATAATATGACTTTATACCCATCAGTTTCTACCCTGCTATAAAACGGCAGTTTGTTACACCCCAGTTGACTTTCTGGAATCGATTCAACGGTCGCATTCGTACTTGTTTTATCCCCGGTATCTGGGTACCGTTCAAGGTTTCCTCACATGAGTCAAGGACGTATATGCACGACTTTTTGGGTGTAAATCTTATTAGTATACCGTATGGAGTTTTCATCAAAGTGTTCGATCCCTGTTAAATGAAACCCCTATTTGAACAGTATCTTAATTCCTTGCTTTTTATGTTACCATAACCAGCTATCCATAACTATTAGTCTACCGTAGATAACACATCAAACTAGCCTCGCGATCACAAAATAAATTCATCATGAATATCCGCACCAGTATAAATGTACACACTTCCATCCAAACCACACCTTCCATCAGACGAAAATTCCCGTTCTCATTAGCAAAAATGCATTTCACTACCACACCCCAGTAAAGGATAATCTCGCCGCGGTATAATATCATCATCCTCGCTTAAAGAAATGCAACCCTACCATTTCCCCTTTTCCAAGCCAAGCTTTCGCTCGCCTAATCCAATTATACAAGCTCGTTTACTGTAGTGTTAGTGTATTTTTGCTACCTATTCTCTACCTAGGTATACGATACGTTGACGCTTTGTGTATTGAAGAATGGGTGTGACGCAGCATCGGGTTTAGGGATCAGCGTATATTTTTGAGATCGTAGGATTACATGTATTCGTCGTGTGGTTTATAATGCCGCGAAGACTGTGGATACAACAGTCATTGAGTGGTTTAGTGCAAATAGTCCTTAGTTATAGTATCATTTCTTTGCGGGTAGCTAACTCCAACGATTCTGGAGTTATTTTGAAGTCATCTGTCTATGAAGGAAGAAGTAGTTACGCACTCGTTTTTCTATATCGATTGACCTAGACCATTTGATGCCATTGCGAATAGACTGATTATCCTCGTGACGGTGAAGCTACTCTCTTGTCTGGTTGTATTCATTAGAACAAACACACTAGAAATGAGAAGAATGAAGCTATTTTCGGCCGTCCCTCTCGTCTACCACCAAGTGTACCCTAGCTCCGGCTTACCACCATCTATCAAATACGATATTCGAACGCTCTACTACTCTAGTAACTCCTCTACGGTAATCACCATTCTCAGCTCAACCCCCGAGACTAACCCATTCAGACCCAAGCAAACCACAAAACCACAGCTCCAACCCGTAAACCTCAAGACTGCTCCCCACCCCTCGTCAAAACAACACACCTAACATCCACCTCTCCCATCACCATCCCCACCCCCTCCCCCTTCCCATCCGCTGCTGTA